TAAACTGATTAAATTAAAAAGACCTATTAATGAGTCATCACACTGATCTAGCAGAAGCCACACAACTCGACTGGTGTGGCTCAGTGGTTGAGCATTGACCTATGAACCTGGAGGTCACAATTTGATTCCCAGTGAGGACTCATGCCCAGGCTGCAGGCTGGATCCCCAATGTGGAGCATGCAGGAGGCAGCCGGTTAATGATTCTCTCTCATCACTGATGTTTCTATCTCTCTCCCTCTCTAAAATAAAAAATATGTATTATTAAAAAAAAGAAGAAACAGCAGAACAAACAAGGCCCAGCAGACAGAAATAGTAACTACTGTTTTTTTTGTTTTTCTAATTATACTCCCTAAAGAGCATTTTTCAATCACCCATTTGAACAGTATATGCAGGTTGAAATGGTTGGAACAAAAAGAAACACACCTGCTTTAATGCTATGACTTAATGGATATGTAGTTTCTGGTGAGACAGTAACTACCAGGGCACACTGTCCAGGGGATGGATGCCTTAGAGGAGCCAATGCAGAACAGAAATGATATAAATGCTCATAAGTACTTAATGAAATGATCTTTTGTAGACTGGAAAGCAGGCAAAATGAAAGAGGCGAAGCATTTTAAGCTTCTTGGAAAAGATACTACTGTTGCCTTCTATCAATTTTATTCAGTAAATATTTACTGAGCATTTACTCCATGCCAAGCACGGGGGGGGGGGGGGGGGGGGGGGAGTCAAAGGAGCAATCTTGCTGAAGGCACTAGACTCTAGTCCTCAGAGTTTTTGTGTCGATGTGGAGCTGCCCCATCCTAAAATAAGTTGACCCAGGGAAATCTGGCATGTTTGCTTGCCTCTACCTCCTGCCTCATTTTCTGCAAATCAAAGGGACCAAATGGCCTATTGCCAGAAGCATACACAGTACTGGCCACCTCTAGACTTCCATTCTGCATACATGGCAGCAGCAGTCAATCCTGAGTCATACGGTGCTACTTGCAGAAAGGTTAAAGCTATTTGGTACAATTCAAGGGAGCCTGTGAGGGGGAGAGAGCTAATCTCAATTCACAGTCACATTTTTAAAAGCTTAAAATTTAAATCAGACTGGTTCCCTTGAAAGATCCTTAACCATATACACTTACCTTCCTCTACCTGGACATTGTGCTCTCCTTACTTCAGAGAGATGTTACTTGAGAGCAAATGTTCCCCAAGAGCCCCTTGGAACTAGATACTGCCACCACCTAAGTGTCATTTATTCCTCCAGGCATGCTCTCCCTTCTTCCCTTGTAGGCCTCTCTCTCCTCATACCCCAGAGCCCTACCCAAGGAGACCCTCTACCTTCACCAAGCTGCTTAAAAATTGCAGGTGAGAACCAAAATTCCCTTTCCTCAATAGTCCCTAGAGCAAATGCACCAAGGTTTTTTACCTTCCTACTTAGTAACCTGTTACATATAGCCTTTCTCACCTATCCTGGAACTCAACATGACAACTTTAAAGGCACACATATCTCCACACACAAGTTTATGAGTCTCTTATCCAGCCAGGACCACAGCCACACCAAATGCTTCATTAGCTGTGCCCACCTGCCAAGCTTCTCCTCTCTGGACCAGCTTCTCAGTACAGCTGATGAGTAACTGCCCTTCAATTAGCCTACCACTTACTAGTATGAATAAACTGAATTTTCTACCACCCTCAAAGGATGCTTCACACCCTTACAGTTACCAATCTGTTACCAAATTTCATTTCAGTTTACCAGTGACCCAGCAGATGATCCAAAAGGCCAAACAGCTGGTTAAGTAGTGCCTCCCAAAAGGTTACGTCACCTAGTCTGGAACGGGACATTTGGAAATGGGATATTTGTAGATGTAATCAAGTTAAATGAGGTCATACTATATTAGGGTGGGCCCTGATGTCCTTAAAAGAAGAGGGAAATTTGAACACAGAGACAGAGGCAGAGACTGGAATTATGCTCCTATAAGCCAAGGAACAGCAAGGACAGCCAGCAACCACCAGAAGATAGAAGAGGCAGAAAAGCATTCCCCCCAAGAGCCTTAGGAGGGAATATGGCCTTGCTGACACCTTGATTTCGGACTTCTGGCCCGTGAAGAATAAATTCCTGTTGATATAAGCCACCCGGTTTGTAATTTGTTACAGTAGTCATGGGAAATTAATACAGCTAGTAATTCTGGGTAAATGCAAATACAGCTACTTCTAATTGCTTGGTATTTGAGGCAAGCTCATAGATAAGCAGTTCTCAACCTGTGGGTCTCGACCCCTTCGGGGGTTGAACGACCCTTTCACAGGGGTCGCCTAAGACCATCGGAAAACACATATATAATTACATATTGTTTTTGTGATTAATCACTATGCTTTAATTATGTTCAATTTATAACAATGAAAATACATCCTGCATATCAGATATTTACATTACAATTCGTAACAGTAGCAAAATTACAGTTATGAAGTAGCAACAAAAATAATTTTATGAAAAAAAAAATAAAATAATGTTATGGTTGGGGGTCACCACCACATGAGGAACCCTATTAAAGGATCGCGGCATTAGGAAGGTTGAGAACCACCGTCCTAGACACTTTACAATTTCTCACAGAAAGCATCTGTGTAAACTGTGAATGTCCATAATCCTAAGAAACAGGCAAAGCAAAATGTTACTTTCAGCTAAATGAGTGAAATCCTTTGAGCTTAATGTAAACAGTGAATACTGGCACGTTCCAATTCATCTGGGTATTTTGTTCACAACTGCTGAGGGAACTGAGAAAACAATGCAAAACCCGAAGGGGAATTAGGCCACAGTACTGCAGCAAGAGCCTCAGGATCATTAACAACTGTTAAAAGCACAAGATGAGCAAAGCACACCTGGTTTTACTGCCCTTTGCTTCACTGTGCTTCACAGATGTTGCGTTTTTGTTTTTTACAAATTGAAGGCAAGACGCTCTGTTTACGACTCACTATTGCGGTGATCTGAAACCAAACTCGCAGTATGTTCAAGGTATGCCTGTACTTACACCTGGTTTATGGCAGCAAAAGAGTGCCACCTGCTGAAGGACCAGCAACAAAACTACTGCACTTTGTAAAAATTCCAATTTTCTATTTAAAACAAAGTTCCCCACTCCTATTAGAAGAACGGCAGAAAGGAAGCGAGTCTACAGCCAACCTATCTCTGCAGAATTTGCCTAATTTTCCGCAAGGAGCACTGGACTGTAGTCTGCCCAATTTAGGCTCCGGGGACTCACATAACCAGATGACCAGTGGCCTCAGACCACACAGGCAAGCATACCTTTGGCTGCATGATTGATAGACGAGGGAGGGTCATCATCAGATGTAGAGCTGAGGCTCAGGGCAAGCTCTGCAACTCTTTTCTTCTGTTTCTTGATAGGGGCAGTGCACTCTGGATCATTTCTCCTCTTCATTGTTACTGCAACCATAAATCCAGACAAGACAGTCAGCTGCTCATGTCAGAGTCTCTAGGATCAGAGCAGGGATTCTAGAGTATAAATTATAAATGGGATGGGATTTGGCAACTCCAAACCACTTCCAGTGCCAGCACTTGAACAGCCTCTTCCTCAAAGAGGTCCAGTATGGATGCTAGCCAAGCTCGGGCTTTCAAAAATAGTCCTTAGTTTCACTGTAAAATGTGGTACTCACAGACTCAGAGGCCTCTGGGCCATTGATGTCAGATACCAAAAAGTCATGGGCCAACTCCACACACCACAGGGGGAAAAGCCTTGGGAAACTGTTATTCTATACTTTGATGCAACACTGGCCATGTGTAACAACAATGTACCCTGGAAATGTATTATGAAACTATTAACCAGTGACTATTAACCAATAATTTCCAAGGTGAACAGATCATCCGAGAATGACTGTTCTACCACTGTTATTATTTTACCCATATGATACACTGTTTCTTGTGTTGTTTTTGTTTTTTTACTTCAGGATGTTTAAAAACATGAACAAAACTGGGAAAGGAATAGAAGCACTGGTTGCCTTAGGACTGAGGAAATATGAGGGAGAAAGTTATTGGAACTGGATGTAGCCATAGCATAAGACTCATGTACAAAAGTAGTAATTTTAAGAACAGAAACCCACCTCCACAAAAAAAGAAAAGAAAGAAAACAGGCAGGCACCATGCCACCATCATCCATGCCCATGAGTAGGTACATCAGGTAAGCATGAGAAAAAATAATAATAATAATAATAAGCCTTAGCCGGTTTGGCTCAGTGGATAGAGCCTCCCCCTGAGGACAGAAGGGTCCTGGGTTAGAGTCAGGTCAGGGGCAGGTACCACCACCTTGCAGGCTCCTCCCCCGCCCGGCCCTCCTGAGGCGCCAGCAGGAGGCAACCAATTCTCTCCCATTGATATCTCTCTCTGTCTTTCCCTCTCTCTTCCACTCTCTCTAAAAAATCAATGGAAAAATATCCTCGGGTGAGGACTTTTTTTAAAAAAAATGTGATGGAAGAGATTAAGAAGATCCTGACATCTTAAGAAATGAAGGAGTTAAAGAGCAACCAATTCTAGTGAATACAGTGTGGTTTATACACAGCTGATTGGCCGTAACAGGACTCAGAAAAAGGACTCAAAACAGAAGCCAACAGGGCTGCAATCCTTGGGGAAGAGGAGGTGCAGGGGCAAAAGAACAGACTTACAATAAAACCAAAAAAGATAACCAGTGATCCCGTCGACCTCACAAAAACCCGAAATCACATGTGTCCCTTATTTCCAGCTCAGAGATGAGCCCGTCAACCGAATGCATAACCTGACCCTTCCCAGGGAGGCAGCCTGCCTCTCTCTCCCCAGGCGCAGGCAGGGGCCCTCCTGGGGTCGTAGGAAGAACAGACGACACTGAACAAACAGCAGGCAGGGCCAGGCTGAGCCACATTTCCCTTTAAACCTATCTTATATGCCCCCCTCCCGCCCCCCAAAAAAAAATCCATAAAAGCAAAAAATAAAAGGCCCCCACTGGTCCTTAGTGCCTCTGGGGACGGAGCAGGGGAACTCCATGTGGACAGCGCTGGGGTGGTGCAGGAACAGGCGAGCAAACAGCTGTGTGACGGGGGGTGCTGACGCTCTTTCCAATCCACCTTAGGCTGGCGCCTTCCGCACCATCTCCTCCGCCCTCTCGCTGCTCCGCTGGAGAAGACGGCGGCCCTCGACGGGAGGCCGCACAGCTTCCCGGTGCCCCGCTCCCGGGACCTACGCAGGCCCGAGGGCGCGCCGGCGGGGAACTTCCGAGGGGAAGGCCTGGCTCTACCCGCTGCCGCCCCCGGCGAGGGTTCCCAATCCCCGCTCCAGGCTGCTCCCCCTGGGCCTCGGGTTCGCTCGGCCGCCCCCGCTCACGGAGGGAAGAGACGCGCTCCCCTCTCCCCGGACCCGTGTCTCCACTGGAAGGTAACGTGAATGTGTGCGTGTGCGCGCGGAGACCAAGTCAGCGGCGGCTCCGCTCCGGGAGCTGGACGAGCGATGTGGGGGTGGGGGGGCGGGAGGAGGGACGAGAGAAGGGGCGAGAAGGCGGCGGGGGTAGCCCGCGCGCGGGTGCGGGTGCGGGGCCGAGGCGGCGGTGGAGGGGAGGATGCTGAGCCCGCGCGCCCGCCCGCCCGCTGCCCCCGGGCCGCGCGCCGGCACTCACACGGAGGGGAGAGGGCGAGCTGCCAGGGAGCGGAGAGGGGGGTCAGGCCACCGCTGCCGCCGCCGCTACCGGGCCCGGCCCTGCTGCCGCCAGGACCGCCAGCTCCTCCCTCACTTTCGTTTCCCCGGCCAGTCCCGGAGCGCCGCCCCGCCGTCGCGCTCGGGTCCCGCCCTGCGGGCCGCGCCGCTTGATGACGTCACGCGGCCGCTCCCTCGCCCGGCCGGGTCCCGGCCCGGGGAAGACCTCGAGGGTTCCGGCCGCCCCGCCCCCGCCCGGCGGCCCAGGGAGCATGCGCGGGAGCCCGGCCAGGAGAGGATACGAAAGCAAAATAACCGAGCATTTTCTCTTCCGGCTCCGCCGCCGGAAAACAGATAAAAACTAAAAGGGCCGGGTGTCGTCACATCACCGCATCTCACTTCACCTTATTACATTCATTTTACAGATTAAGGAAAGTTTAACGAGGTGGCCGGTACACTGGTTGAGGGCAGAAACCCAGGCTTCCTGTTGACGATGCATCCCCAGCATCCAGCGCACAGAACATCCTCAGCAGACGTTGAGCAGAGGTCGGGAAGATGGAGGGAATACCGTCTTAGGGAATTTACCACGTGGACGCAGATGGCTTCCCCTTCCAAACCCATCCTTCAATTTCCAGGCCCAAATGACTAAAAGTCTGCAGAACATCCCCAGTCACTTCACACCCAAAATGCAAATCCGACCTTATGTTTTCGCATAAGCCTACTCTGTTCCCAGGGAATAGCACCACCATTCATGCTGTTGGTCCAAACAGAAATCGGAGGAGGCCCCGTCTCATTTTTCAGTCTCCGATGTCTCCTTCATGGAGTTCACCTAATTACTTCTCAAATCTATCCATTCTTCTCCCACTCCGTTGCCACTACCCTCTCTCACTAGGATTTCTCCAATCATCTCCAACTCATTGTGCCTGTCTCCAGTCGGAATCTCTCTGGTGCATAAAACCAACGTGATTTTTAAAACATTTTTATTCTGATCTTGTTACAACTTGTCAATGATTAAAACCCATCAATAGCTGCCATTTCTCTGAGGATGAGGCTACTGGCGTTAAGATGGCTGCAAGCCCCTCTGATCCGACCCCTTCTGCAGCAGTGCCCTGTGCTCCTACTGGTCCCTTCCCTCTCCCTAGTCTGGTTTTCGCTCAGTTTCTCCACCATGCCATGTCTATTGAGGGCTCGTTCCTCTGCCTGGATCACTCCTCCCCCTTCTTTGCTTGACTAATGTCTACTTATTAGTTTAATGTCCTCATATCTGGAAATCTTTCCTGACCCCACAAGTCTGGGCTGGGAGCTATGGAAGCACCTACCACAGTGTTGCTGCCTCATCTGCCTCAACCTCTCAGTTGTAAACTGGGTGCAGGAAAGGTTATATCTGTGTGTCTGTATTAAATCTTGAATACAGTGACTGATAGTAGGTGGGAAATAGACAATTACTGAATCTGTGGAAGTATGGAATATGAGTGAAGGTTAAGTGACATGCTCAAGGTCACAGCGAGAAAATAGCAAATGGACATTTAAACCCAGGTCTCTGGTTCTAAAGCTGAGTGTTTCTCCCCTCTCACCAGGGCTCTGCACATGTGTTGTGCCTTGAACACCTTTGGGAATCTTATAAAGTTTATGTGTCCATTCTCCACATAATAAGTTGAAGGGCACAAAAGGAAATCAATTATATTGAAACTAGAGGCCTGTTGCATGAAAAGATTCGTGCAATAGGCCTTCCCTTCCCCTGGCTGCCTGCACTGGTTTTCCTTCGGCACCGGGGAACAAGACCTTCGCTCAGGCCAGAGCAGCTTTCAAAGCCTTCGCTGCTCCGGCTGGAGCCACCTTATGTCTTCGCTCTACAGCTTCGCGCCTACATATTCAAATTAACTACCATCTTTGTTGGTGGTTAATTTGCATATCTTGCTGATTAGCCAATGGGAAGCATAGCGAATGTAAGGTCAATTACCCTGTTTGTCTATTATTAGATAGGATACAGTTAACATATCTAACATATTGTGTGATTTGTTTTTAATTTTAATATAAAGCATTAAATAATGAGGGAATACACTTAAAATATAGAAAAATTAAAATGTATTTTTTAATATACATGTGTGAATCCAATGAATAGTACTGTAACAACCAAACAAATATATGGGAGAAAGATAAACCTTGATTCCTACCCCACACCATATATAAAATTAACTCAAAATGGATCAAACCTAAAAATACAAAGCTCATAAAAGAAAACATAGGTGACTATAGTTAACAATACAGTATTGTGTATTTGGACATTTCTAAGAAAGTAAATCTTAAAATTCTTTATTACAAGATAAAAAATAGTAACTATATGAGGTGATGGATATTAACTAAACTTATGGTTAATCATTTCCCAATATATACATTCTAGAGGCCCGGTGCACAAAATTCATGCATGGGTAGGGTCCCTAGGCATGGCCGGCAATCAGGGCTGATGGGGTCTTCCAACTGCTGGCCAGGGCCTTCCTTCTGTCACATGTCATAGGGAGCAATGGAACTCCTAGTCTCCCAGTCGAACTTTCAAGGGGACACTTTGCATATTAGCCTTTTACATATATAGATATCAAATCATTATGTTGTATACATTAATACAATGTCAAATGTCAATTATATCTCAATAAAACAGGAAAAAAGTGAAAAAAGAGAACGTCAGAGAATAACTTTGCAGACTTGGAATAGACAAAGATTTTTTACACAGGACCCAGAAAGCATTAATCAATCAGGAGAAAAAAAATTTAAAATAGACTCCATCAAAATGAAAGGCATCTGCTCATCAAAAGACACCAATAAGAAATTGAATAAGGGCCCGGCTGGCATGGCCCAGTGGTTGAGCATTGACCTATGAACCAGGAGGTCATGGTTCAATTTCTGGTCAGGGCACATGCCCAGGTTGTGGGCTTGATCCCCAGTGTGGGGTATGCAGGAGGCAGCCGATCAATGATTCTCTCTCATCATTGATGTTTCTATCTCTCTCACCCTCTCCCTTCCTCTCTGAAATCAATAAAAAATATATTTTTTTAAAAAAAAAGAAAAGAAATTTAATAGGCAAGCCACAGACTGAGAGAAAAATATTATATATATATATATATACACACACACACATATATATGACAAATCACTTATACCCAAAAATATATAAAATACCCAATAATAAAAAGAAAAACAGCCCTGCCCAGTGTGCTCAATAGTTAGAGCATCACCCCTTGCACCAAGGGTCATGGGTTCGATTCCCAGGGAAGGGTGAGTACCTGGGTTTCAGGTTCAATCCCTGGCCCCTGTACATGCAGGAGGCAACTGATCCATGTCTCTCTCTCACATCTCTCTCTCTCTTTTTCCCTCTCTCTCCCCCCCTTCCACTCTCTCTGAAAATCAATAGAAAAAAGATCCTCAGTTGAGGATTAACAAGCAAAAAACAAAAAAAGAAGGAAAAACATAATTCTAAGTCCTGTCAAAATGGAGAAAACACATTCCATCCCATTTCTCTCACTGAATGCAATTTAAACCTTAGTGAGAATGCATGGAACACCTACGTGAAGATTCTGAAAAGTAAATGGTAGCAGGATTACTGGGGATGGAAACTACAAGTCAAAAAACCACCAAATCAGGACTGAGTTCCCCAATTTTCCCCCCTCTGGTATCTCCCTGCCCAGACTGAAAGGCAGCTTGAAACCTAAAACTGTGCTACAGGCACAGGTAGGAAGCTCCAGGAGAAGCGACAAAGGGCTCTATGGATCAGAGACGGGGTTTGGGGGAGGGGGACCCATGGTTTTTCTTGTGTTGTTTCTCTGATCACTTTCACCCCAGTCTTTAGGCAGTCACAAGGTAACCACGGTGCACAGCCACAGTCCATTAGAACCACAGCCCACAGAAGGCAGGGAGGAATGTGTGGCTTGACCTAACTGGGTCAGTTTCCTTTTAAAACAAACACACAGCCCGGACCGGTTTGGCTCAGTGTTTAGAGCATCGGCCTGCGGATTGAAAGGTCCCGGGTTCGATTCCAGTCAAGGGCATGTACCTTGGTTGTGGGCACATCTCCCCTAGGGGGTGTGCAGGAGGCAGCTGATCAATGTTTCTCTCTCATTGATGTTTCTAACTATCCCTCTCCCCCTCTGTAAAAAAACGAGTAAAAACAACAACACACAAACAAAACCCAGACCAAAAAACCAACATTCTCCATAGGATTTTATCAAGACCCAGAGTCACGTATGTTATATTCAAAATGTCCAAGATAAAATCTAAAATTACTCAATATACAAAGAATCAGGAAATGTTCAACGTTTTGCTTTTAATTATTGTTCAATATTTTATTAGTTTCAGGTGTACAGCATAGTGGTTAGACATTTATATAACTTACAAAGTGATCCCCCCAATAAGTCTAGTACTCACCTGACACCATATACAGTTATTACATTACTAGAGGCCCGGTGCACAAAAATTTGTGCACTCGGGGGGGAGGAGGGGTCCCTCAGTCCGGCCTGTGCCCTCTTGCAGTCTGGGACCCCTCGGGAGATAACGACCTGCTGGCTTAGGCCTGCTCCCGGGTGGCAGAGGGCAGGCCCAATCCCTAGGTGCAGCCCCTGGTCGGGCTCAGAGCAGGGCCAATTGGGGAGTTGGGGCGCTGCCCCCTGTCATGCACAGAGCAGGGCGGATAGGGAGGTTGCGATGCCACCCTCAGTCACACTCAGGGTAGGGCCAATTGGGGGGTTGGGGCACCGCCCCCTGTCACACTCAAGGCAGGGTCGATGGGGAGGTTGCGGCGCCACCCCCTGTCACGCACAGAACAGGGCCCATAAGGGGGTTGGGGCACTGCCCCCTGTCACGCACAGAGCAGGGCCCCTCAGGGGGTTGGGGAGCTCCCCCCTGTCACTCACGGAGTAGGGCCAATAGGGGAGTTGGGGCACCGCCCCCTGTCACACACAGAGCAGGGCGGATCAGGGGGTTGGGGCGCTGCCCTCTATCACCCACAGAGCAGGGCCAATCAGGGGGTTTTGGGCGCCGCCACTGTCACACTCAGGGTAGGGCCAATGGGGAGGTTATGGCTCTACCCCATCACACACAGAGCAGGGCCTGTGGGGTGGGGGTTTGGGCGCCGCTCTCTATCACCCACAGAGCAGGGCCGATCAGGGGGTTGGGGCGCCGCCACTCTTACACTCAGGGCAGGACCGATGGGGAGGTTATGGCTCTACCCCGTAACACATAGAGCAGGGCAGATCAGGGGGTTGCGGCACCACACCCTGTCACACACAGAGCCGCAGGGCGATCAGGGGCTTGGGGAGCTCCCCCCTATCAGGCACAGAGCAGGGCTGATTAGGGGGTTGGGGCGCCTTCCCCTGTCAGGAACAGAGCAGGGCGGATAGGTAGGTTGTGGCCCCGCCCCCTGTCACACACAGAGCCACAGGGTGATCAGGGGGTTTGGGCGCTGCCCCCTGTCACACTGATCCTGGTGCCGGGAGGCCTCTCGGCTCCGCTGATCCCGGTGCTGGGAGGCATATTACCCTTTTACTATATAGGATAGAGGCCTGGTGCATGGGTGGGGCTGGCTGGTTTGCCCTGAAGGGTGTCCTGGATCACCAACTGCTCCTTTTTTTTTTTTTATTCTGGGCTAGCTTTAGCTTTGAGGCTTGGCTCCAGCTCTTAGGCCTCCGCTGAAAGCAGGTTTCTGGCCTTTGTTTACCTTCTGTATTTGAAACAATGTTGCAATCCTGCTGGCTGAAGCCCTATGGACTAAAGCAGGTTTCTGGGGTTTTGTTTAGCTTCTATATTTGTTACATAGTTGCTTAGAGTTGCAGCTCAGAGGCCTGCAGCGGCAGGCAGGGAATGTTGGAGTCCTCCGTCACTGAAGCAAGCAAGCCTCATGTTCACTTTAAGCTGCCTGGCTGCCGGCCGCCATCTTGGCTGGCAGTTAATTTACATATTGCCCTGATTAGCCAATGGGAAGGGTAGCGGTCATACGCTCATTACCATGTTTCTCTTTTATTAGATAGGATTGACTATACTTCC